AAAAAAAAAAAAAAAAAGCTTTCGTCGATTTTGCCCCGTTTTGCTCTACGTTACCGAAATGTGTGTTCCAAATGCAGAATTAGCAACAAAACATAAGTTGAAAGCAAACGACTATTTACACACTTTACTTGGTGGATGTCATGGAATCCGACGAAGAATATCCCGAACCCGAGCCCGACTTACTCGAGCCTCCAGTCTCCAGGAGTAACCGCTCAAACTGATTGACCTTCTCGTTCAAAAAGCCCAGCACGTCCGTTACATCTTCCCACTCGCACGCTATATCATCGCTCGAGTTCGACTGTTTGATGGCTGGCGTGATTTGAGACGGCTGCTTTGGTTTTAAATTTGCATTTTGGTTGCTAGTAGTTGTCATCCCTTGGTCTTTTATAGCTGCAAGGTCCTTGTTTCGTTTGAACGAGTCCGAGCGTTTCGGTGGCTGCGGTCTTCGGATTTCCGTTTCTTTACCAATTTCCTTTGCGTTATTGTTCACGTCTTTGCTGTCGACTCTTTTAAAACTCCTCAACTCAGCTTCTTTAGCTTCTTTCCGCAGCTGTCTGCTCTCCGCTTCTTTCTTTTGAAGCGTTCGCTCGTACTTCTTGTTCAAATTGTGCAAATATCGTACCATTTCCTTTTCCCTCTTTAACTCGGCTTTTAGCTGATTTTGAGTGATTTTAAATCTGTCGTTCTGATATTCAAGCTCCTTCATCTTACGCTGCATGTTTTGATTCTCGGTCTTGAGCAAAATTATTATCTTCTCGAGATTCGCGTTTTCCGCTTTCAACAGCTTGATTGCCATGTGTAAATGCGATCCTTGTTCAACAGGTGAAGGAGTCCGCCTCTCCTTAGTCATGTCTATAGCCAGAGTGGCTCAAGTAAAGCGCACTCAGAAACAGGACAACCGCAAACACTAACAGGATCGCAGCAAGAATCAGTCGAGCAAAACACTGTCATAGTAATCAAATCGGCTGATATTACACGTGGAGGTATGCATATTTCAAATGACTTCCTTTGAAGCACTTGTTTTGTTCCGACCCGAGCTCTGACCCCATTGAAACTTTCACTTAGACGGAATGACGTCACAATAGCACACCCTAAGCTAATTTACGTCTCCAGGGACATGCGGTTGGTTGTAACGTTCCTTGATAACCGGTTAGATGCTCTTAATTAACGTTTTAACTATTCGATGGGGCGCTACAAAGTTCAACTTTTCTTCTTTAACCAAAGAAACGAAATTAAAACAAAAGCAGAAAGCGTGCGGTTTAATGGTTCACATACATCACGCCTCCAAATTAAACCCCAGCTTAACTGATAGACTTGGTAATATCACTTTCAAAATTCGCGTCACAGAAGTCGCCCGACTACATTTGCCTTGAATGCTTAGACTAAAATTGGCACTGCTTCGGCTAAATATGTCCTTTCGAGCGCCTGTCTTCTTTCAACAGAATTATTTGCACACTCTTTCCGCTGCAGTAGCCGCTTACCCCCGACTGCTCGATATCCTGTGGCGCTCAACCAAATCCTATTATTTTATAAACTGAAACAGCCACTATTTGTACGACTAAGTGAGCCAATATAACAGCTGATCATGGTGCTGTGTCAGAAAATTAATGTACATAACTGCACAGTAGATGGTAAACACAAACAGACCGACAGTGCAGTAGTCAAACAACTCAAACCAAGCTATTGACATACTTTTAGGATTATTTATATGTTTGGTATGCTTTTAAGACCACGATCGCGACCCTTAGAGATACCACAGATTTTATGGTCATGTCTACGTGAAAGTAAAAAGCTTAGCAGTGAATTTCTGGAAGTTTTGTCTTGAACAACGTCTCAGCGGAATGAATACAAATGAGTGACAAAAACTAGAGAGAAAAAATCTAACTTAATTAGTAGTGTTTACTCTGAAGTAACAGGCTTCCCATTGAAGGCCTCTGAACGACTGTAATTAGGTAAAAATCATAACAGGATCCCAGGAAAGGGCCATTAAACTACAGTAATAATTTCCCTTCCATGTTAAAACATATGCGAAGAAACAAAAGAAAGATTTTGAAGATCAAACTGGAAACCTGTAGTTGTCCTAGAAGCCAGGCGGCCCAAAACAAAGGCGTTCGGAGACAGCGCGGAGAGTTGAGTGGCTAAGCGGAGCGGCTAAGCCAATGAAAACTGTTGAACTGTATTATTCAATGTTCCAGCTTCTTAATAATCAATAATATCCCCGTAATATCCTATCTGTCTGTGTACAGAAATATCGTTCATTTTTACTGGGCCGCTGCTGATTGAAAAGGAGTTTTGAAACCATTTTTTTTGTTTATTTTGTAAATCGCGCAGTTGAATCAATATTTGTCAGAAGTGCAATATAATCAGTGTTTTTTTGGAACCGCTAAATGGTAAATTTTAATTAGTAATTGGTTAGGCCTGTTTTCGTCGAAGTTCCTTATGGCTTTATATCAGCTTCTTACTGAACCAAAACGGGTCAAGTAACTGTCGCTTCTAACAAGTCATTTCACTGTAAACATCGGCCATATTGAACGTATTTCACGAATGACACTTTCGCCCATGGGGGAAGGTGATCGTCTAATAGAGTGTATACTCATGGACCTCATGATTCGTCGCATGATCAATACCTACAGTCCATGGCCGAGTAGCTCATTTGTTCTTTACAGAAGTCTCTTCGATTAAGACCTCAAGTCTGAAAATATCCCTCCGAGAGCAACTTCCACTACTGCTTTCACATTGAATTAAACCAGGTCTTATAACATGTATTTTGAGTTCGTCGTTAAGTTTTTTCATAGACTGTTTTGTCGTCTGTAGCCACACAAAAGTTCCTTTGTTTCATATTTTTAGGGAGCTGTTACTTGAGAGAGAAAAAAAGCGCTGACCAAGCTTTTATGTTTTACGCAGATCTGAGCAGACTAAGAATAGCCTAACAAATCAGACGAGCTTGGCACGAGACCAATATTTCCGGCTAATAAGTGGCCGGAAATAAGTTAATACATTCTATTTCACCAGGGCAAGTAAGAATTAGTTCAGGAAGTGACTGGATGATTAAAGGTTTTTGGCATCCCACTTTCCAAAGTCCTTTTTAATCTTTTTATCAGATGATGGCATCAGGTTTGTCAAACTTGCTAAAGCGCCATTTCGACATTGCCGTTTCTCTTCGTGGGGCTACTGTCCTGCTTAGCTATTGGGCTTGTCATATGATGGAAAAATAGTAAAGGAGGGGACCCGCTCGATAATGAGCAGCCTGCCTTGCTATCGGCGCAACGAAATCGATTGCTACACAGTCTCGAACCTGCTGGATTGCCGGTCAATCGAACGACGAGAAGCAAACTATAAAAGAGTAGATTAGATTCCAGGGCTAGCCTTTGCGGGAGACTGAAGTGCCCACGTGGGTTACATTTTTACAGGCTGACTCCTCTGTCTCTCATTTCCTTGACACTCGCAGATGCCCACTCAAGGATATATTGTTCAGGGTGGTAGTTTCATTTTATTTATTCTAGGATTTTTTTGTATTTCTGCTACCCTCCGTCATTTTCACTCATCATTGGTGGCCAGCATTATGCATCTTTTCGGCTTGTGCAGATCCCGCCCCTTTAAAGTAATTAATTGCTGGCGGCACTTGCCGCGCTGCCGCCCGGCGGCCTGCCCATAGAACCGGTCTAATTAGTCGGATGCAAAAGAGATCGGTAGAATCTTGAGAAAAAGTCCAGGCCTGTTCATTCTCCTTCAAAAGCCTTTCATTACGAGCTTACTCCGTGACTATCGGATGACTGAGGAAGCCGGCGTTTTCAATGTAATGAACTTGGCATTAAGAAAGGTTCTCTCTATGAGAGGATAGCGCGTGTCTATCTTGTTATCACGATACATCAGAAGAAAATCAAAGGTTTATTCAAATAGTTCTTGTTGTTTCGAACGGTTAATATTTAACATTTAATATGAGTGAACCTAAGAAGGTCCCGGGCGGCGCACCGAGAAAGAGCTCTCGAAAAAAAAAAAAAAGAAAAGGGATTCCATTCGAGCGCTAAAGAAACTGAAAAGACAACATTATATATCTGCTATCTCGAACTGTAGCTATGATCAGTACATAAGGAGACAGTGCTCTTATTCGGATCTATTTTTATCATGTTATAAGTAATTAGAGGTAATTAACATCGTTATATTTATCCAGGCGTATACTGTTTTACATTTTACATTTTGGAAAGTCTGTCCACACACTACGTTGATTGTCACTTTTGATCTATCTCGAATTTTCTTAATTGTGACACGCCGGCCAATAGCTGAACGCGGATACGCTCGTTTCTCTGGATTCTCTTGTTTTCGAAGAGAAATGCACTGTTCGATATGGACTCAATCAAAACCGGTGAAATCACCACCCGGGAATCACTGCGAGGTCAAGAGAGCATTTGTATTTCTACATTCGCTAGACAAAACACTGCCATTTGTTGTTGTCTGCATTATTCTATATTCACATTGCCTGTAATCACTTCAGGGTCATATGAAACTCGCTCTATCGTAGAAAGGTTTTTGAGACTGATGGAGATCTTATCACTGGAAACGTCAGCCACTGGGCGCTTTCTATTTTTAAGCATATATAAAAGAACAGTTATCAGTTTTGGAAAAAAGGTTAACAATGCTTTCTCAATTTTTGCCCTTTCTGGCGGGGTATTGTTATCTCAGTAAAGGTCCCCCTAATCTGTTTGGCTACCAACATTTTCTTTTTTTCCCTGTAATGATTGCGGCTGTGGCACAATGAATTCTTTTCTTCTCTGTTTTCGCAGACAGCTTCCATAGTGCGACGGAGAAATTTGAAAACGCAGCCTTATTTCTACGGTTGGACCTGCCGTCCACACTTATCCGTCACGAAAACGGAGCTTTTCGAAAAGGCATTTCAAATCGGAAGAATTTGCAAACGTCGGCTTTTCGTTTTCGTGTTCCTGCGATTTCCCTGACCCAATTTTCCCCAAACTCAAATTCAAAATGACCGCTGATTGTTTTGTTTTTAAATTCCTTCGGCGTAATGTGGACGCAAAACATTTGATGCGTTTTCAGTGTGAAACCTCCTTTTTCAAATTCCTCCGGCGTAGTGTGGGCGGGGCCTTATTGAGATACATAAAAAAGTGTTTCCAGATATGTAATGGACGTGACTTGGCGTAAGGCCAATCTGATAATGGTACGTGACCTGAAGAATAAATGTGATACCGAGTAAATTTATTCTCTATCTCTTAAAATTATCAGCACGTAATGGGTACGTGACCTGTGATAAGCATATTGAATTGAGTGAGCTTCGTTCATAGTTTGGTCTCAAAACTTGTTTCTTTTGCCATCATTTCTTGTAGTGTACGATGATGATCACTTTTAATTTCCGGTGGCGGGTTCTTTGGGGTGGTCGAAGGGTTTGAAGAAGTGTTCGGATGTCTTTGTGCCTCAAGATTGTGCAGTTTCCTTTTGAACTCTCTTCTGACCTACAATGTTACACACACACACACAAAACAACAACGCGGATGAAATAAAGACAGAAACGAGCAAACAATCAACTGAACGAATAAAGAAGAGGAAGAAGAGGAAGAAGAAGAAGAAGAAGAAGAAGAAGAAGAAGAAAACAGTACACAGGGAGCTGAAACAAGCAATATAGTAGCAAATGAATTTTAATGATATATTCATTGTATTTGTAAACCCTGATGAACTTTATACCGTGTATAAGGACAGATTAAAGATTAAATGATGAATCAAACGAGGAATTGTGCTAAAAAGCAACCAAACAACCAACCAACAAAGCAAATAAACAAACAAGCAAACAAACAAACAAACAAACAAACAAAAAACAAGGAAACAAACAAACACGGTCCTTAGGCCTTTGTTGTGTAACTCACCTCTGTATTCTTTAGGCAGTAGAAGAGAAAGATAAGAAAGCCCTAATAAAAAACGTAAACCAGAAAGAAAACCTGAGCTGGGTAGACAAAAGAAACTGGAAAACTGATCAAAGTAAGTTTTGCTAACTATTTAGGAGGCCCCCTCTCTCCCTAGCTATATTGGAGGCTCATTATGAAAATTTTAGTGAGCAATGTTTTTTTTTACTTTTGTCTTGAATCGTAGCTATAACGCCTCAGAAAACAACAACAACAAAGTAAACCAATTAGTCCAGTTGAAAATGATGTGGATAAAACCACGTGAAAAAACAAGGGTACTTCAACTCCTGTGTAACGTAAGAAGACAACTTACCTGTAAGGAATTGAATATGGCAAAAAGATACTCAAATACCACAGAGTTGTTGTTAACAGCAAGAAGTCCAAATACCCACGTCAGACCCAGAATTGGAAGAAGAGTGACAAAAGCTTTTGCCAAAGACCTTTAAATTACAGAGCAACAACAATAACTCAAATGTGTGTAGAGCGGTTCGCATTTGCTCTAGTTTTCCATTACTAATGTGACACTATTGGCTCTCGCCACATTGTCATCGTATCAGAACACGTTTCCCGAGCTTCGCGTCTGCTACATGTATTCAGTTCGAGTTGTGTTTGGTTAATTAGATCATCTGCGTCCTATGTAACTGGCTCGAGCAATTGGTTTTATGTTATTGCATCCAATATTGCAAACTGCTCTATGTTCACATGTAGATCACCGTAAACATGGTAACTGGTTAACTTACGGCGCACGATTCGCAAACATAAACGTCAAATTTTACACAAGCAACTGAATAAAATGATTGCTACATAAACTGCAACAGAAGGAAAATAGAAAAAAAAAAGGACAAAACAACGATAATAACAACACCAAAAATTCAGACTAAAGAAGACAAGCAATAGACAAAAGACCACTCATTTAAATGGCATTGTTAATAGCAGAGCTCCAGCGCGCTGAAGGCGCATGAGCGGAGCCCCATTGCTTTGGTAACCCATCGAGCTAAAATATTTTGGTTTTCATGTGATTGTTCGTCCGTACTTACGTCCGTACGTGCGTCCGTTTGTCCCTAAGTACGCCCCTTCATGTAAATCAATGTGAAATGTCACTCTAAAACAACCTTGTTCCTAGGGATTTTCCCCAAGAGATAGGCAGGTTTACAGCGTACGTCTTTACTTTAAAATTTGGGCATCCACGTTATGTTTAATTGATACTGAATAGTAATACGTGACCCTATCGCGGGCTCATGTTTAGAGCTCATAGATGTTACTTGCTTTTTTTTTGGAGTTGATCGCTGCCCAGGTACAGGTTTTGGGTGGATCGCAGGTTCAAGCCAAATCAGGTGCTCTGCTTTTAGGCTTGGTTAGGTCTATATACCAACCATGGTCACATAGGGCCAAAATAAATCTATTTAAATCTAAGTCTATATATTACTATGTTAAGGAAACAATGGAAATAGTACTGAGTTTTATTTATTTAGTTTTATTATATAGTTTATTAAATATTTACCTAGCATTAGATGGCGATTCTTCATTTAACATTTTTGAGGTTACTCTCATTACCATTGTGAGTATGCCCAAATTAATCTAAAGAATATAATGGAGAAGGTATGCATGAGAATGAAATTGACACATACAGTGGAACAACCTTGGATTGTTTGAACTGTGTAATTATATTAACAAAATTGATTAGGATGTGCAATACCGTCATGACAAAGATGGCTGGACCAACAAAGCTCCAAATAGCTCCTGTCTCCACTGACAACCAGCAACTGAGAAAGAATTTACAGTAGGTTAACAGAAGGTAACGCTTTCACCATGGAGTGCAGTGGAGTGGACCTCCGACGGTTTTCTTACGTAACTGTTGAAAAATAATTTCAGTTTGAACTTACATTTCCTTTGAAAGAAGCCTCTTTTGAAAAATGGCAACGACGATTACAGTTACGGTGAATGGGAAACCTTGGCAAAAATGAAACTATGTTAATCACCAGAATGAGTTGTAAATGGGCAAAAATCTGCAGAATGTCCAACCTTTGAACAGCACTAACCTCAACAATAGCACACACTGATTAGAGCGGTTTTTGATTGAGTGTCGTAAAACCAAAACCAAGCCAGTTACTGAATTAGACTGTTCAGCATATCTCAAACCGTATTCTTAGTAAAACAAAAACCAAAGTGATCGTCTGATTATTTTTGACACTTGATTGAAAACTGCTCTAAAACTGTACTAAGCTACTACAGGGACCGCAAAATAGTATCTTTACATTAGCTAAGCATAATTGACCACAAATCGGCAAAAATCTAAAACATAGTCAAGAAAATAAAGTTTAAGAAAACGATGCCACCTTACCCCATCCTATACACGTGTAATATAGATTCCTTCCTCTTCCTGACTCAAAGACTCTGACCACCATGAAGTAAATATGGATTCCTTCAGCGAGCATCCACGAAAAAACACATAGGAAAAAGAAAAAGAGCCCAACTGCGACTGCGTAACAAGCAACCTACAAGAGAATAATCCATTGAATGAGTTATCCAATCGCGTACAAAAGAAACGAATGAAACCTGACAATAGTAATATTGAGAAAATACAATTTTGTTCCACTTGATAAAGATTACTACCCTTCCCCCGTTTTAGTGGCTTCTGATCAGAGAAGAAATGTATAGAGTGTTCCACGACTAATGTTGCCAATCATTTACGTTAACAATTTATCATCAGCTTATTTTGAGTTAAAGACTTCAAGCCAAATAACGTACATTATGTTCGTTTGTTATCGACCTGTGGACATTATTTGACTGTGTATGTATGTCGTTTAATTAAATCACATTTAAACTTGATCAAAATCACTCAGTTATTTACCTGTGATGTCTGTGGTTTCACTCCAAAAGCTGCCACAAGGAATAAGACTTGAGCAAGCAAAACAGCAGTCACCAAATTTATATGAATAATAATTCTCTGCGACCGAAGGCTTCTGTAAAGGAAATAAATACGGAAAACATGAGCTTCATTTTCTAATTTAACAAAGGTATCTTTGAACATCCGAACAGAGTATAAATAGATGTTTCAAAGGACCACACTGGGTGTATAACTATTCGAACAAGTTACCTAGCTATATTGGCTTCAAATTCTCTTTATATGCAATTATTTAATTAATCACAATCTCCCTAGCTGATTACAGACCCATTTCTAGTACTGACTAGGGAAAAGAAAGCGAGAGAGGCCAAAACAAAACAACTGGACGAGGTCAGCCGAACAAATACTTCAGCAGATATTGCTAGGATTGAACGTTAAAAGAACTCAAAGTCCAGGATCGAGGCAGGGGAAGGAGAACTTTACTGCGCT